CCTCCTGTGCAGATTGGAGGTGGGACATCTTGAAACAATAATTAGACCGCTTCAGTGTGGATGCAAATTACAAACAGTTTTAAAGTAATCCAGTTTTATGCTATAATTTCTTTTTGGTCAGCTCCTGGCTCTTGGTTAGTCAGGTAGAGCAAAGAATTAGTAATGACTCACAAATGGCAGAGAAAGATTTGGGTTTAAATATTATCTAGCACAAGGCAGACAATACTACCTACCGACAGCTATCCACACTTACAACAACTGGTTAACAATCCCATAGATTTAATTTCCCTCTGGATTAATACAGTAGTTTAGATAAACATTTCTACAGATATAAATGTAAATTGATTGTTTGATTAATCAAAAATATTCAGAGGATTGTACATTTGAATTTTTACAATAAATGAAATATGGTCATTAGCAAAGGTTAATAGCATTATGAACCTTTAACACAATTTTGTTGAATCTTGACTTTGATTTGGTTTATTGATATTGAAAGCACTTGTAGAAACACCCTTAGAAAATGCACAAGACCCCTAGAGGAAAAAATTGGAAGACAGACTCTTAGAAGAATTACCAAACAGTGTTAGAAGAACCATACGTACATAGAAAAGCGATGTTTATATTATGTATAACGGTACTAATACAGTCTATGCAATGGGCTAATAGTCTATTTGATTTGCAGCTGGTATGTTTGTGTGACTGAGTACAAGGGGATGATTGCTTTGTTTATGTATACTGTAGCATGAATCATTTTGATGGAAGTAGTTGTATTGTGTTATCTCTAGTACTGAACTACAGGAAGCAAGACAGTTACAATGTCGCACTAAACTCCCTGTTTGATTGTATAACTGATATTAAGTTGTGGCTTTCAGAAAATTTTCTTAGTTTGAATTAAAGTAAAACAGATTGTACTGTTTTCAGATATGTAGGTATGCAGAATGGCTCAGATCTGAGTTTGGGAGCTTTGGAATCTTGCCCTAGATCGGCTGTCAAAAACTAGAGGGTTACTTTTGATTGCAGCATGAAATTTCATAAGCAGATCAGTAATGTTGTTCAAATTAGCTTCTTCCAGCTTCGGATGCACGCTAAAGTCAAAGGTGTTAAGTAACAAAGTACTAATACTTCTTTACCTTACTTAAGTAGAAATGTTGTCTATTTAAACTTTACTGGAGTAATTATTCTTTAGACAACTTTTTACTTCTATTCCTTACATTTTTTTTTCAATAATCTGTACTTTCTACTCCTTACAGTCTCATTTTTATTTTAGCCTCTTGGTATTTAAAAAAATAAAAACCATCAAAATAATCTGTTTCATGGAAACAAGTAATTTCTTTGTAATAGGACTCGGTCCTGCACCAAGTTGTTGTTCGCCACATACCAAAATAAATTGTTTTTACATGATGATGCAAAGTTAGATTTGACACTGTTACCATTAGTTGTAAAACTAAGACAGTGAAGTATAAGGATGTTATCATCCAGTATTGTTGAAAATTTTTTTCCTTTAATAGGGTAGTGCAGTACCCAGTATACGGTGTAAAGCATCTGTCATTTACATTTTTCCTGCATTACTTTAACTTTTATACTTTAAGTAGTTTTAAAAATGATACTTTTACATTTTTAGTTGAGTAAAAGCTTACTCTACTATAGTAGTCTTTAAACAATGGGATTTCTTCTTTTACTTGAGTAATAAACATGAATACTCTGGCTAAAGTTCAGCCTTTTTCTGGGGCCATTTATTCTTTTATCAGTTCGAGGTTGGACTACTGTAATTCTCTTTATGTTGGTCTGTATTAGACGTCTGTCTGACATCCTCAACTTGTGCAAAATGCTGCCGTTCGCTTTCTAACAAATACATCTAGATGTGCACACATCACCCCTATTCTCTACACCCTGCATTGGCTCCTGGTTAATTTTCTGTCAAAGTCCCTCCCACTGAATGAGGAAAGTTTTTGTAAGCGCACACTTAACTGTATATCTTCTGTGATGTTTACGGTTTCAGTTTTGTTTGACTCTTTCTCTTTTTATGAGCTGTTTCTTGTCTCCTTCACTTTCTCTCTCCCCTTATTTCTAATATCCTCTTTCTTTCTCACCTCTCTTTCAGATTCTGTGTCTGTTTTGTTAGAATTTATACCCGAAATAATTTTCATTAAATTTTCATATACAATTACCAAGCAGAACCTTATGGTCTGCTTGTGAAAGCAAATCTGTTGGCTATCATCTAGCTTTGGGGAAATCAACTGCCAGAGCTAAACTGGCAAAACAAGACACAGAAAAGAAAAAATGAAGAAAAAAAAAAAGAAAGTGAAAGTGAAAGGAAAATGTGTGAGAAGGTTATGTTGTTGGAAAACCCCCATCCAAAGTGTTTGCTTATAAAGGCCAGCCACCCAGGAAAGGAGAGAGTATCAAAGTGTCAGCATCAGAACTTCACATGGAAAAATACTGGGACTTAAATTGATTCTGGTACGAAATTGAAGATGAAAAAGCCTTGGAGTAAATTCCTGTCTAGAAGGGACAGCACCCGACCTTTGATAAATGACAACAATAATTACATAGAGAATGGTGAGTAAGAACTATTATCAAAGTCAAGATATTTGGCAATTTTTTTTTTTTTTATCTATGCCAATAAGAAGCATTGCACATCTTGTATTATATCAGTTTTTTTTGTTTTTTTTTTCGGGTTTATGGTTTAACTGGGAAAACATGTTGTGATTTTATATTCAATGCCCATCCAGGTTAGATGCCATATTAAAGTTGTGCATAATTATTAAATTCAGTTCCCAGCCTGCTGGGAATTCATATGTTCTGATACTCTAAGATGTTTATTGCCAAACCCGGCAGGGGTGTTAAATACCTTATTTAATGAGATATTATTGGAGCTACTATATATATTGTTTATGAACACACACCCTACTAGCTGTTTGTTAGAACAGTAAATGAAAGAGTGATTTGAGCTCAAATAATGGTAAAACAGTTAATTCTGCACATACTGGGAATAAATTAACCACAACTTCTGCTCAAAATATAAGAGTTTATTAACTAAAATCATTCAGCTCCAATTCAAACATGTTTCAGTTTATAACTCTTAACTAAAACTAGTGAAACTCAACTAAACTAAACTACTACGTACAAAGAGGAAGGGGACACATGGTTGAAAACCATGTTACAGTTTAAGATGGATTTTGTGTTTTAAAACCAAAGTGTTTCTGTAAGATTTTGGGATATGATCAAATTAGATTTTAAGTACTTTAGAGACATTGAAATGTTTTCAAACCAATTCACAATGCAAATCCAGACATCATAAGTTACAAAAACTCAAATCAGGGAGATGCAAACCCCAACCCCACCCAGCCCCCACCCCGCAACATGCCCCATACATACACACTTAAGGCCAGCAACTTTTCAACAATTGTTTAATAACTACCTGTAATTTCTTAAACACAAAACAGAACAGTATTGGTATTTTAATTCTCAATACTTTCAATCTTGTAGCCTTGAACATCGGTTGTGCTTCCTGTTTTTCATGGGACTTCAGCATACAGTGCACCTCACCCCGGTGTCATCATTCCTCACCATGGCCGGTTCTACACAGGCGCCAACAGGGGCCAGTGCCCCTGTAGATCATGTCCTGGCCCCTGTACTGAAGACATAATACTTTAGATAGATAGTAAATGTTGATACTTCTATAAATGTAGTTCCCCCCTAAAGAACCAAAGAGTAAACATCCATATGGCTACACGTTTCCCGATTCCAAATACTTTGTTTCTATCTTCATAGAAACTACTTTCTTCATGCAGAAAGTACTGCTAGAATATAATTACTGTAACTCATAATGTTACCTGTGGCAGTACAAAAAACTAGATTGGGTACCTTTGTCTTTGCCTCCAGGGATATCTGCTACATGCTGCATTGTCTACATACTCGAAAGTAAAAGAGAATTAAAGGTTTGGGAGGAGTCTGCTGTGGGAAAACCCTTGTCCTCTGTTAGATATAGGCCACCCAGGAAAGGGAGAGTATCAAAGTGTCAGAACTTTAGAGGGAAGAATACTGTGACCTAAAAAAGAGAAAATTCTAAATTAAAGATGAGAAAGTCTTTGAAAAAATGGCTATCCAGAATGGACAGCACCCAGCCTTTAATGGAGAACCACAATAATAACATAGAGAATGGTGAGTAGGAACAAAATAATTGATATTTGGCTGCTCTTTTTTTACATATGCACAGAAGATACATTGCAGAAAATAAAAAAAAATCGACTTGAGAATAAAATGCAACTTGATTGCCTAAGTTTGTATGCAAAAAAAAAGGAATTTCACATTGTTTTATTATTGCTCAAAATCCAAACAATAAGCTACAGTATATTAAAGCTCTATGTAGAGATACAATCAAGACAAGGAAAAGTTCAAGTCAGTACTTGTCTTTTAGCTCCTTTTTTGAAGAGGAGGGAAGTCAGATTGAGAAGGTGCAAAAAGCTTGTTTACTTCAAGCAAATAAGCTAGCCCTGGCTGTCGGGACGCCCTGCCTGATACAGAGCATTAAAACAGAAAAAGAAAGGCATTTAATTATTCAATATATCATCAGCGTCAATGACACTTTTGCTTAGTTAAATAAAAAAAAACACATAACTAAACTATTGAAACAAATGTTGTTTGTTTTAAATAATTATTATAAAGAGTGCATAGACCTTTAAGACCTTTGCAAACTGAATAATATATGGGTGTATATGAAGTAACAGTGGCATAGCAGTAGTGAATAAACAGCCATGATAACATTCTTTAAGCATGACTCAGTAAGAGGTCAGTTTGAACTGACAGAAGACACGCTGTGGTGAATGGAAAAATAGTTTATACCTGCTAAACTGGCTCGATTAATAGCCTCAACTGGATTTTGACTGTATTTTAATTCAATGTTAATGGAAGAACAAACTGACATCTCTTTTGAAGTGCTAAATTTTTACAGAGTATAAGGGGACTTTTGAGAACCACTGCACATTGGCAAACTGGAGAGCATACGGGTTTATGGCAGCAGGAAAAGAATTTCACCACGTTAATTGAAGTGAACAGAAAGAAGGAAACGAATGTTTATAACATGCTAGAAATGAATAAATAGGACACTGCGTAACTTTAGTTTATAAGCTTAAAACATAAATATTTTTATTAAATTGGTTCTAGCCCATGAATCCCATTTGTGTTACAGTTAAGCCTTAAAAAGATTTCTAAAGAAAAACAACTGTGCGTTCATCCAAAGTATTGGTATACCATCAGGCCATAATTTCTTTCAAATATTGTCAATCTTTTACATGTTTCTTTATGTGCATTTGGTTACTGTATAGTCTGTATAATTTTCCCTTATTCATATGGTCAGTACATTTATGCTGTGCAAGTGCTGTAACCCAAGTCAGCTACTATGTAGTCTTCCATTAGCTCTCTACAGTGCAGATATTTTTATATCTAAGGGAAACATATTTCAGGACATAAGAACTTTTTTCTTTTTTTACGTGTCTTTGTACTATTTACTTTTTGTATTCTCTGTCATATTTTTACCTTTAATGGCATCTTGCTTTAACTCTTTGTACTCTATATAAGCTTCTTGAACAATAATTTCCCTTAAGAAGTAATCCCATGGGATAAATAAAGGTTAGTCTAACTCAAAAGGTTTAATCTCTATGGTTTTGGAGTCAGTAGTCACCTTTATCTATGTCTCCTTTTACATATTTTACATCATTTCTTGGTGCTATTCTGGTTTGGCCACTGCTAAATGTCATACTTATAGTCAAAGAAAAATTATGTCCTAATCAAAGGATTTTTTAGTCCTAAATCTGCCGGGGGGGAAACACATACAACTTAGTTGTATGTGTTTCAGCAGGGAATTCTTTAATGGCCTGACTGAACGATTAATCCCAATTTTATAAATATAAATCTATTAAATCCTTGTCACAAGGCTCAGAAATGAAGGACTCAAATGCAAGACCTGACACAGTGGATTAAAACTCAAAGTTCTTTTAATTCAGTCCAGGGTTGAACACCAATAATCCAGCAGAAACAGAAGCATCAAAAAACAGAGAGAAAGGCAGGTCCAAATCCAAGCAGGGGTCAAAACACTAGAAAGCTAAATCTAATAGGCAAAGAGGCTGGAACGCTAAGCTCAAAAGACTAACGAACTGGCAAAGGGAAGCTGCAAGGGTGGGAACTAAATACTCTAACAAACAAAAGAGGAGCACATTCACCAGGTGAATTGCATTAGGCTGTGGCAGATCCTGATTGCAGGAAGGAACTCAGGAAGTAAAGCTGCCTAAAACGAGAGAGGAAATGAGTACCAAAATAAAACAGGAAGTAAAAAGACAAGGTGATAAAAGTGACATCAATCTAATCAGGACTGCCCCTGACAACCCTAAACCTTTAATAAAACTCCAACAACCTCCTATCCTTTGTAGGTGTTTATGCAGAAGAAAACTAACTTGCAAAACAGAAACCTGCCGCCCTTCAGCGAGTAACATGGAGATGCAGCATTACGTACTGTGCTGTGGTTAAACTTTCCTCCAGTACGGAAAGGGAATCTGGTCAGGGCCTGTGAAGAGACGGGTTAAGTAAATAAAGGTTAATTCCTAAAGAAAACATCTTATAGGATGAAAATGACCTTAGTTTTGGGCAAAGGGGTCACCTTTCATCAAGAAAGCTCTAAACAAGCAAACAGAAGATAAATGCATATTTATTGGTTAAAATGACAGAGCCAATGTCCTAACTGAAGTCTTCATGAATCTGTGCAAAGAAGAAAATAATTTGAAAAATATTCTACATCTAGTTTGACTGTATATGAACAAAATAAAAGGGGAAAAATGTCACTCTGTGATGTATAGGTCAGAGGTGTCAAACTCTATCAAATCTTACCACTTCAGTGATATCAAGTGTTTAAATGGGCCGGGTGAGGCTAAACATAGTTTTTCATTTACAAAGAGCACATTGTTCTGGTATCATAACTTTGCTCTCATGTATTTAGCTGTTTCAGCCACTTTGTACAGGTTATGTGAGCATATACCCCTATCACATATATTGCCCTGAGATTTGACCTGTGGGTAGGGGTGGACTGGGACAAAAAAAAAAATCGGCCCTGGCCTTTTGGACTAGACTGGCCCACCACATTTTTTTTTTTTTTTGGTGTACTAAATGTGTATACCAACTGTGCAATACCTTGAGGCCAGGTTAATGGAAAATAGTGAGAGTGGAAACTTAAAATACTTCCAAAATCTTAATTTATTGACACTGTAAAATGTAAACTCCACCACAGCACAGCAACAGTTCTTAGATCAGAGAGAGAGAGAGAGAGAGAGAAGTCACAGTTAATCACGCATATTATCACGTTATATCATCATAAGAAGTGATTGTATGTTGCTCATCAGATTTATTCCGTCTTCCAGATACTGCAGGGTAACATTGGACTACTGTGCACTCATTGTGTAAAAAAGGATGCCAATGACTAAATTATGAACCATTTGAAACATGTAGAAATAATAATAATAATAAATGAGCTTGTGTCAGTAGTCTTTCCAAATGCAATACATAAAATACAAAACAAAATAAAGCATGACTTTTCTCACAATATGTGAGCCACCTCCTGTTGGTTGCATTTTTAGTGGTGAATACCTTTTGCACAACTGGATTTTTTTGTGCTTTGTTGCGGGTGGTGATTAAAACAGTTTTTTAAAGACAAGGATCAGGACGGGCAAAGTAATCTATTTCCTCCTGCTTCTCGCCATGTCTCTCCTCAGCCGCACTGACATCATGTTCACTGCTCGCTTCGCCGTCGCCTCCACTACAACCACCACCACCATCATATTTTACATCAGACACTGGGGCAGATGAAAGGCCTGCTGTTGGGAACATGTTAGTCAGTTTGACACATTTCGCAGCGTCCGTTTGAAGAACTTGTTTCTTTTTTTAGCACAGTTTCTCTGCGCCTCCCTTGCATTTCTTATTCATTACTATTGTGAACACTGCTGCACAAACTTCCAATGGAGAGTGAAGGTGTTTTTCTACTTTCTGATTGGCCTAGCCCTTTAGACTGTCAGGGATGATAACCAATGGGCTGCAGTAGCCTGGGGTAAGAGCCTGATGATCGGAACAGACTCTTGCGCTGCTGACTTCATTTTTCTTTATGCATTATGCAAATATAACGAGGCCAATAATAATAATAATAATAATAATAATAATAATAATAATAATAATAAACATATCGGGTCTGCTGGCCCAAACAGCACGTCGGCCCACCGGGCAAATTCCCGGTACGCCCAATTACCAGTCCATGCCTGCCTGTGGGTCTTGAGAGTGCTCCATGTTTTAGGTTATTTTTTTTTAAGAAAAAGAATGAGAAAACAAAGAATATGTGTCCTCTTACTGTATGTCACACAATTTCAACACTTTGTTTTGTTCTTTTACGTAATGTCTATATAAAAAATCTTGAAGTGTGCGACTGCAATATGAGAAAAAAAATTGAGATAAAATTGTTGATAACAGTCTTGCTGGGTACTGAAATTCAGTTATACCAGGATTAAACTTTGGTGTTCAGACTGAGATTATTCTAAAACATGAAAGAACAGAGATGGATGCTTTGTTGACATGAACAATTGCCTAATTTTTGTGTCTTTTTGTGATCATACAGGTCATGAATCTGAGTGCATGTTGCATAACAGTTTAAGAAAAAATGAAGAGAAAAAATCGCAGGAGCTTTTTTCACCCTGTTCTGATGATGCTTCAGATGATGATAATCCCTCCAACAGCTTTGAGCCTATGCAAAGCAGGAAAGGATCAATGTCCCTGACCTTCCCAGAAATCCCTGCTGACCTTGACCAAAATCTTCATCGGCATTTGGAAAATGTAGAAGAAATAGTACAAAATAAGCGTAATTCAAGGTCTGGAGACAACAGTGGCTGTCTAGAAGATCACTTTCTCTTACAGACATCTGAGCACCTAAATATCCTGCTCCAGAACATCAGCACCTCAAAAAACTGTTTACATTTGATAAACTGGGTCTTTGAAAGGTATGTATTAGCTTCTGAACTGTTTCCATGCATTAAACAATCTGTAGCAATGTTAAAAATCTCTTGATACAACACAATTCTGTAACCTGGCATGATGGGATCATGAAAACAGCGAAAGTAGATCATTTAATATGTCACCTGACCAGGCAACAGAGCAATGTGTTCAAAGCAAACAAACGATGCATTAAAGGTTAATGGAAACGAGGAGACAGATATGACTGCTAATGTGAATAAACTTCTAAAGAGCAGAGTTCAGGTTAGAGTTCATAGTAGTTCTTCAGAAATAGCAGGTGGAGGCCTTATTTCAGTCATTTATGGTAAGTTTAACAGTAGTAGATCATCTTTATGTCTATTTTAATTGGTTAGGATTTAAGTATAGAGACAACAAGACCTTTAAAGATCTATTGTTGTTGTTTAATAGCACAGGTTGGGAAAATTATACTCTGATACTGTCCACCATCAATGCAAAACCATCCAGGAAAGGAAAAGTGGACGAAAGGGGTTTTCCAAAATACAAGTTCTAATAAACTAGATTTCCAGCATGCCATTGCTTGTTTGTTAATCACTGCGTAAAATTACGTCACAACCAAATGATCCTAGAAGATATGCTTTTTTTCCTCATCCATGTCTGTCCCTTGTTCCTCATAGTTTGCTGACTGAGTTTCTCATGTACGCTTTTTTTAAAACTGATATGAATAAAAAAACAGGTGTGCTGGTTGTTAACTCTTGGATACAATCCTATCCTGATATAATAAAGAGAAAACATAACATGCACATACTTTTATGAAATGCATTTTTGAATAATGTCTTTATTTAAGCAAACTATTTCAGTATTCCCAAGGCACTTCTTACATAATCAATTGGAAAATGTTTCTGGTGTTTTTTTTTCTTTCCAGGAAGCAACTATTTCATAACTCGGAATCTGATCTTGTGGAAGAATGGGGAGCAGAAGCAGAAACCAAACTTCTAGAGAGAATTAAGGTAAGTGTTTTTAAACAACTAGGAGTCTGAAAACATATACAAATGAAGTGGTTTTGATGATAGTATTGGCTGATGTTTGAACTGATTGATTTCCTATCATAGACCCATCTTTTATCAATAGAGCCATTGATGTATGTTTGCGATATTTGTTGGCTTGTAACATCCATCTCTACTGAAGATTTAAACATCTGACCCAAAAATGTAATGATATGTCTGGTCAAATGTATTGCTTATTATTTTTGAAAAACCTTGCAGTCTGCCTGCCCATAATAAAGAGGTAGTACAGTCGATCTTTATATAGTACTGCAATGGGCTGAAGAGATGCCAACAAATAAATTAACCATAACTCATGAATAGAAAGATTAAAACTTACCTAAAATATACGATTTATGGAGTAGCCAAATGTTTTCCAGAATTTTTTTTTATCGCCAGATGAAACAAACATTGAGTTTTTAGCTTTAATTACTGAACCTGTCTTTTAAAAAGTCAAGACAAAGCTTTCAAATCTAAGAAAAGTCTCAACTACTGTATAGGAGCATCATTCTGTGAGGCTTTTATCTTTCACCTATAAGGTTAGATATATCTCCAGCACTGTAAACGCAAGGCCTAAACTTGATACTTAGAGTCTATTGGAATAAAAAGCTCTGTAAGGATACCAAAATGCATATTTAAACAAGTAGCAGATAACCAAGTGTCAAGGTTTTCTGTGAATACACAATATGTTCTCCAAGTCAGTAACAGTCGCTAAAAGTAGCCAGTTAAAAAAATTAACTGAAAGCTATATTTTTAATTATTGTTTTCTAGTGTTGGGTAAGCAAACTAAAATCTGTCACAAGCACATAGAGCTAAACATTTAGCAAACAACATTAACAGCAGACACAATGTAACGAATCATAGCCTGGATTGGAAATGAGAGTTTCTATTTGTCAAATATAGCTTTATGGTTGTGCCTGTCTGTTAGGAGGAGGTTCGTGTTTCCTTGGACAAAATCCTGCAGGAGGACCGAAACCAAACAGAACATAATGAAGAAACCTACATTCAGCTTTACGTGGACATTATTCAGGTACAAACTTGCATATTTATGGGCATATATTTGTTATTTACTGCTGTTTATGGTATATTATTTCTTTAACCTATATACATGGTCTTACATTATTACAAAGGTTTATATGCATTTGATAAGGATTTAATGTATAAATGTAAATGAGTTTATACCTATTTTCTAAATGCTATACAAACAAAAAATAATATGTATTTTGCAACCTTGGGATGTGGGATGTGATGCGGAAAAACTTTTCTAAGTAGTGTTTTATTTTTGAGTTTTGTGCTAGATATGGGATCAACATAACAGACAGCAAATTTAGCACAAAGAGGTTCATTATGCTACCTAATTATGAACATATTATTATTATCACACTAGTTAGTTGTATTTTGGCATCCAGGCTTTGGACATTGTAGGGTCAGGGTTGACACTGGTCTACAATGTGCAAAGAGAACCAGAACAACAACCTGTTAGATCTCACTAAAGCCCTGAACACACCGAATCTGATTTTGTGCCGATCTGACAGAAAATCATGTCATTTGAGGTTGAGGCATTTAGTGCTCATTTAACGTTTATGGGGATGAACACACCCGATACGAGCCTCATGGAGGCTCATGGAGGCTCGCCTACTGTAGCTGCAACTGAGATAGACACCCGGTCTATTTTAGGGTGTATATATACCCGTAGGTCAGAATTGTCTGATGAAGGACATAGTGACCAAAATGTTACATTAATAAATATTTGATGGAGGGCAACACAGTGTGCAGGAACTTCTTGGGAACTCTGTAGTTACATTGTGATAAAATGACAAAACTGTTTGGAGGGACTTTTTATCTCATCTGGCCTGAAAGGGCCTTGCAATACCTCAAAAGACCTGCTTTGCAAATGTCCTGCTTTCTCTTCTGGACCTGTTACCTTAACAACCAAATCTGAGATTTGGTTGTTAAGGTAACAGTTAAGAGGAAAATAAAGGAAAGATGGAGGAATGGAATATGGTTATACATTACAAAAATTTAGATGATGTGATTACTTCTGCAAGGTACTCTGTAAATGTAACATATTTAGTATTCATTTCTCAAATAATTTGAGGTTTTTTCTCTCTCTATCTTCCAGTGTATTAATGCCATGCCCACATATGCACAAAAGGTAAGACCAAGACTGTATCCTCAGGTGCAGGAGGTTTGCTATCAAGAGCTGTGCAATTTTGTGAAAAGGTGAGACGTTTTCAGTTTGATCGGAGATTGTTCTTTGAATCTGATCTAGAAATAAAGACGTTTCTAGAAAATTGCAGAACAATTTACATCAATTTACAGTGAGTTGACAGAATTATCAGTTGAAATAATACCACATATTTGCTTTGTTGAAGGTACACCTCTGAACAGACCAAGATTCTTCAACAAAAAGCTGAGACTTGGAGGGAACATGTGGAAAATCCAGAGACGATACACTTCCTTAAGACTCTGAAAACATGTAAAGAACTAAGGTGGTTGTTTCATGTCTTCACCCAGACATAAACAGTTTATTCAAAGTTCAAAATTGAACCTTAATTTTTCTGTTTTAGTTTGATTAAAATCACTTAAAGAATATCTATTTGCCAAAGGTCTGAAAAAAGGAGACAAAGGAATTTTTTTCAAAGACACCTTTTTTTATTCCCAAGCTCCTGATGGGTTAATAACACCCGTGAGTTAAATGGTGGCTTGTCTGTAGATTTAATTCCCAACATCCCAAACACTTTCATAGCTACATCTAAGTGTAAACAGCATTTATATGCTATGTCATTTTATGGTTCTAAGGGGGCCTCTGGGAGGCACAAGAAATGTGTCTGCCTTTGTTTCTACTGCCCTAAAAGGCTGAAATGCATTTATATGAATTAGTACAAGGATTAATGGTGAAGCTGAGAAGATAACTGCACTTTACTTCTAGTGGACTGGAGGCGTTTGGTGAGAAAATATAATGCTTTTTATAAAAAGTGACTGAATGAGAACCTTGAATTTTAAAGATAGAGTTTTTTTAACAAAAGTTAAAAGAGAGCAAAAACATAAATGAGAATTGAGTCAATATCTATGTTACCAAGCAGACATTCTTTCAGCAGAAAAATAAATCTGAATTAATATAAAGTTTCTCAGCTTTGCAAATAACTAATACTAAATCAATTCATGTTTTTACATTGAGCATTCAAGTGTTTACAACACTGTTTATATATTTTTATTTTTTCCATTATTACAGAAGCATTTTAAAGGGGTAGATAAATGCAGTAAGAGAATGAGAAAGCTTGGCTTTCAGTCTCTCCTCCAAATCAAATGTCCTTTATTTGGTTGAGATCAAGACTGCAGATCAGTAAAGGTCATTAGCTCCAAGCTCTCTAATTCATGTCTTTATACACCTTGCTTTTTCTGGTGGTGCAAAGTCCTGTTGAAAATGCAAGGAACAATTTCATTGGAGCTACTGGCCCAAGCCCAGCTCCCAACACCCCCACAACGTAATACCACATCCACTAAATGTGACACTTAATACAATACAGCCAGACTTCTCCTGGCAACTTAGACTGATTAGACTGGACCATAGGCTGGACTGGACCATCAGATTACCAAATTAAGAAGCCTGATTTTTTACTCCTAAAATTACTCTTTCACTGCTCAAGTCAAGATGCAGTAGGCTTTATATAAATGCATATAACGCTTTGCATTGCACTTGATGTCTTGCTTGGAGGCGGTTACTCAGCAAAGAAAATTTATTACGTGATTCATACTGTATGCATCGTTTTTGAGCTAATAATTGTATGCTAACATCTGCATTCTACTGCACCACTTGCACCAGCTCCATCAGTTCACTACTTCATGATGGAGTTTGTGTCAATTCAGTTCAGTTTACTTATATGGCATCAATTCTCAACACAATGTATCTCAATGCACTTTATAGAGAAAATTCATACAAGGGAGGCAGACCGACTGGTTAAAAATCAGAATATTGCATTGAGTCAGTGACTTGGCAGAATTCAGTCTTCTAGATGAGCTTGCAGTGGTAGTGGATGGTTGTGTGCATTGTGTCAGCCACTTTGCAGAAATCGATCATGAGGAAGAAACGTTCAACTGAATCAACCTTATGCTGTTCACATTAAGCTTGGGGTTTTTAGAAGACAAAGCAGACACACAAAATAAACACATTAGCACAAATGCAAGAATAATTTTATACTGTACTAGAGATGTGGACAGCAGCCCATTTAAAGCCTTCCTCCAGGACAGTGTCGCAGCTAAACAGAGTGCCAGGCCATATGTAGCTGCTATGACAAGAAAAATCAGAAAGAACATACAACTAAAAGTGGATTTAAAGCTCCAAGTGGCTTTGGGCGACTCTCGAGGCTCAGCGCAGCTCAGCTTATTGTACAGCAGATGCTGCGCAAAAACTTCAACCACGCCTTCAGCAATTTGGCTCAAATCCAGCCTTCCTAACACAAGCTGTGGAAAATTCCTGTTCTCAGTGGGCATAGTTTAAAGGGGTTCCAGTTGACTCAAAGCACAATGTATTTTAATAGAGCATTTTAAAAGGCTTCAAAGATCACTCATATCCAGCTGGAAGCAACTCCAATCGTGCAACTGTGATTTAGAGCAAAACAGATCTAGACAGCGACATATTGGAATTTGCCAACCTGCCATGTCCACATTCTCAAGCCATAATTCATTTTAAACTACGTGATTTGCCTTTTTTGTACAACAAGCTTTAATTTGCATGGGCAAGTGTCAAAAGGAGGAACTGCCAGCAGTTAAAAATGTGGCTTCCTGTTCCCTAGGGTGATGCTAAATAAGGTCAGGACTATGGAAACCAGTATAACCTCAGCCGCTTTGACTATAAGTTTTATCAAAATATACAGTTTTAAACCCCTTAAAAGTAGACAGGGTTTCTGCCTTAAGGACTAAAACTAGTAGTGGGTTCTACAGGAGAGAAGCTAAAAGATAACTAAAAGATCTTCCTCCCATTCTACTTTTAGACATTTTCGGAGCCACTTGTAAGCCTGCAGATTGAGAGTGAAGTGCCCTGTTAGATGGGATAATCAGGTATCTCATACAAGATGGAGTCTGATTATATAGGGTTTTATACCTGAGAATATTTTTATTTTTACTTAATTGTAATCTGCTAATGAAAGACACCTTAAACAGGAGAAATCTAATTCCTGTTTGTAATTTTCATTAGAACTCTAGCTGCATTTTGAATTAGCAGGGTTTTTTACTGCATTTTGGGGACGTCCTGAAAGTGAAGACTAACAATAGTTCAGCAAAGAATGCATAGACCAGTCTCTTAGCGTTATGGACCAAATATTTCTTCTTTTTGAAGTTTAAAGCGACTATCATTCTCTCATTCTCAATCACATCCACCTTATTTACTACTGACAGCTAAAAGTGGAATATTTAGAAGCAAGGAGATTAACTTTTATACAGGAGACACTCTACCATCCATTGCCAAAGAAATTACCCAACATCTAGTAATATGGCCCTGACTGCAACAAGTGTGCTGCCTTGGGGATTGAGAGGAGAGGAGCTAACATGTACTAAAGTTTCCCTCAAATTCCAAAGTTCTGAATAAACTCAGTCTCCCTAAATTTGCGAAGATCACTGTCCCACCTTTCCTGAATGGATTATTGTATGCAAACAGACTTATCCACGGAATTGGTGGTCAAAAATCAGTGAAATTACAAAGTGCGCTTTCACTGTGTAAATATTTTTGTGCGTTTTCCCACCAGCCCCTGCTGACTCCTTTTATGGCTTCTGTTGAACACTTGACAAGAAACATAACTATTACTTTAATTTTCTTCTCATCATCTGTCTGATAAGATCCATAATAATCTAGCACATGAACTTGAACAGTCGTGAAGAAGAGTGGGGTGTCTACAGGCTCAGCACCAGAGAGGGTGTGCAGCTCACTATCCTCACTTTGAGCTTGGTGGTGAGAAAGTCTCTGATCCAGGATCAGCACCCTTAAACCTGTTGCAGGATTGAGGATTTTGCAGCTGGAATAAATCTGTCAGAAGAATTAGTAATATTGCATTTGTCAGTTTATCAGTTGAGCATCTGGATGTGCAGAGATGGTTCCCTCAGTCATTAAATGTATGAGGAGTAAAAAACACTATCAGTGTCTGGGCAGCAGGAACAACAGAGAATGACCTGAGGTCAGCTTAAACTTGGGTCAGCTGCAAAGAATGATTGAATGGTTTCAAAGTGCTGTCAGTTAATCCACTGATTCCCAACTGGGGGTACCCGTACCCCTAGTGGTCCATGGGTGCATTGCAAGCGGCACATAAGAATTCTCAGGTAATAAAATAAAATAGGTCTGGGATCTGTTCTGTTTTGCGGGGGACCGACCTGAAAAATAAAGCAAGATTTTTTTACCAAAAAGTAAGTTACTCTTATATGTTTCAGTTCACCTTCAGCTTTGCCAAACACCAATACAAAACAAAGCAAAGGAACTGACTAGATGTACAGAATAACCTGATAAAAGCTGTCAAGAATGAGGGGGAAAAAAATGAAGTCAGTCTGACCATATTTTCTGTATAGTATTTTGTTCCCAGTTCCTCAAGTTTAAATAGGGGAGTTACTCAGAGGAGATCCAGCTTTATAACTGCAGATTTGTTCTATTTTATTTTATTTTGTATTTATTTTGATTCCTTACTAGCTTCCAGGCAGTTGGAAAGAACAACATGCCAAAAAATCAAATGCTCAAGATAAAAAGATTGAATTAAATACCCTTTATTGTATATTCAGTTTTTGTACGTTCCACATGGACAATCATCATGTGGGGGTGGGGTACTCATGATACAACAAAATGTCTGGTGTTACTAACCTAACCTGGGAAGGATAGATGTGTCTGCTAGTGAATATGTCAAAGTTCCACAGTTCAAAAGTAATTTTTAGACAATAAAAAAAAAAAAGTTTTTTTTCCCCCCTATTTTTCCTAACTGATCTTTTAATAAGCAAATATAAATTATTTTGTTAATTTTAACTGAGCTAAAGCTGATTTTGCTGATTTTGTGATAAAACAGTTACAAGTATATTATGTATGTAAATATATCGATTAAATTGCTTTTCCTCTAGGTTGCCTAATGATGAGGATGACATGTTATTAACATGATTTACTGTGCTTGGTTTCAGGAATCACGTTTCGATGAATGCAACTTTTGTCAGAGTTCCTCTTGTCCAGGAAATCAATAAAATACTTAAAGACATGGAGGATTTAACTATGCAACTTCTAAAGAAAATTGTAACTGAACTTGCTGAGGTATCCCTTTTCAGAGAATGGGTTTGTTTCACCAAAACAAAAAAATCCTTTTGTCTAAAAAACCCTTTTGCTATCTTGCAGACCTCCCTTGAGGATTATTTCAAATCAAGAAACACATCTTGTAATTGCTTGTTACTCAGTAGATCTGGTCAAAGGCACTGTGGTTTGTTTGATGAGTTGAGGAACCAATTTCCCAGACTGTCTAATGCATCGGATGAACAAAAGGTGAGCCAACTCTTTTTGACAGGTTCCACCTATAGCAACAAAATAAAACACACCTAATAAGTTGATCCAAATTCACAATGTGTTTTAAATGTGATTTTAAAAGGGTAAAATTTGTACAAAAAAAAAAAAAAATCTGACTGATTCTCTCTTTCTAATCTCCAGATTGTTATGGATGAAGCTTATAAAATCGTGGTTCACTCTTATCTCAAGCATCTTATCCAGAGAAGTCCATGGAAACTGAGAAGATACTGGAGTCGTGATGTGGGCCAAGCAGTCGATGAGGATGCCCAGGAACTTCACACCACCATCTCAGATCTGGTGGGATCATCATCTAAGGATCAGTCATTGCAGACAGCTTGTTTTCAGTATTAGAAATTCCTAACATGTACAGTTTGTACCAGGCTCCCGGTGTACAGCAGTGGAACTGCATACTACTGAAGATCAACGACATTTTAAAGAGCAATGATATCGACGGACTGAGGCTTGACATTGCAATCATATCCAGCGACTTTGAGGAACAGAGGTAAACCAGTTTCTTATTATCATAGTTAAGGGCGTGTCACTTATTACATTTAAAAGTGTTTTTAATGTAATTTCTAAATTATCAGTAGGTAACTTTTCAATCTTCATGAAATATTTACATAACTTTTGTGATTATACGTTGACATCTCTGTGATCACCGGCGGGGGGGTGGAGGGAGGGGGGCGTGGTCTCTATCACTTTCACTGACAATAGGCAACTTTTAGAAGGGTTGCAGTATCTGTGCCACACAAACTACAAATGTGCAAACGGCTTTACGGTAATCATCACTTCCCCATTTCCCCATTTGTTATAAAGATGGAAGTCAATGTGACAAAGTTTTCCTGAGAGACTGTATATTGTGCAAATTATGTAGGGTTGTGTGTCCTGTGGACTCACAGGAAAACGGTACAAAACCAAATTTTAACGTTTCTTATATTTCCAGGAGAGTCCAATCCTCACAATTTAATTCATTGTGCATGTTGGACTCACCTGATTCAGTGGCAGGGAAGAACAAATTCATGGCATGGAGATGACTTGGTGACTTTACAATGTTCGTCTCTGGCACTAACTCACAAAAGCTTAACACATTTTGACCCTGATTTTGCTTCTTTTTTTGTGTGTCTTTCTTTTTCTTTTAATCTGAGTAATGGAAGCCATGGAGCTACAAGGATATAGCAATTCCCAAGTTCTGTCTCACATGGCATCCACTTACATCTACTGTACCAATCCTTAAATACTTTCTTTGATAGAGAAGGTGACACAAAACTAGCTCCATAGCCGGCTCTATCAAGGAAAGAAACTGTTTTGTAGATCACAAGCTCTGAACCAGTGTTGATGTCGAGGGATCAAAGACAGCATCACAGTCAGAGCATAACCTTAACCCTCTAACAGTATAAACTTTATCATAATGAACAGTTAAGCCTAGCCTTAAACGTAAGCAGGGCGTCTGTTTACGCCCTAGGAACCATTAGTTAACCTGCAGATTGAGAGACAAGTGCTCTTTTAGGAACATAAGGAACAATCTATTCACTGATAGAAGTTAGAACTTTGTTATTTAGTGCTTTATTTGTGACAAAGAGGATTTTAATCCCATGCTGTCTAATAATTTTGTCAACTGTGAGCACATATACACTACTGTTCAAAAGTTTGGGGTCACCCAAACAATTTTGTGTTTTCCTGAAAAGTCACACTTATTCACCACCATACGTTGTGAAATGAATAGAAAATAGAGTCAAGAATTTGACAAGGTTAGAAATAACGATTTGTATTTGAAATAAGATTTTTTTTACATCAAACTTTGCTTTCATCAAAGAATCCTCCATTTGCAGCAATTACAGCATTGCAGACCTTTGGCATTCTAGCTGTCAATTTGTTGAGGTAATCTGGAGAAACTGCACTTCACGCTTTCAGTAGCAGCTCCCACAAGTTGGATTGGTTGGATGGGAAATTCTTGCGTACCATATGGTCAAGCTGCTCCCACAACAGCTCAATGGGGTTCAGATCTGGTGACTGCGCTGGCCACTCCATTACCGATAGAATACCAGCTGCCTGCTTCTGCTCTAAATAGTTCTTGCGCAATTTGGAGGTGTGTTTAGGGTCATTGTCCTGTTGTAGGATGAAATTGGCTCCAATCAAGCGCTGTCCACTGGGTATGGCATGGAGTTGCATAATGGAGTGATAGCCTTCCTTATTCAGAATCCCTTTTACACTGTACAAATCTCCCACCTTACCAGCACCAAAGCAACCCCAGACCATCACATTACCTCCACCATGCTTAATAGATGGCGTCAGACATTCTTCCAGCATCTTTTCATTTGTTCTGCGTCTCACAAATGTTCTTCTTTGTGATATAAACACCTCAAACTTGGATTCATCCGTCCACAGCACTTTTTTCCAGTCCAGTCAGTTCAGGATACGGCGACAGTTCCATCAATCGGCCAAGAAGATACAATTATGCAATTCTCAGTAGTATATGATCACACATCACACGCGAAAAATAGTGACTGCGCAGCACTACATGTTACAGACATCCCAAGTTTTCTTTGACACTCTGCCCTGAAGCCCAGGATCCTGCAGCCGCCTCTTCACTGTAGATGTTGACACTGGTGTTTTGCGGGTACTATTTAATGAAGATGCCAGTTGGGGACCTGTGAGTTATCTGTTTCTCAAACTAGAGACTCTAATGTACTTATCTTCTTGCTCAGTTGTGCAACGCGGCCTCCCACTTCTTTTTCTACTCTGGTTAGTGTCTGTTTGTGCTGTCCTCTGAAAGGAGTAGTACACATCATTGTAGGAAATCTTCAATTTCTTAGCAATTTCTCGCATGGAATGGCCTTCATTTCTAAGAACAAGAATAGACTGTCAAGTTTCAGATGAAAGTTCTCTTTTTCTGGCCTTTCTAGCCTTCTGAGCCAATGAGCAGACACATTGTACCATTAGAACACTGAAGTGATAGTTGCTGGAAATTGGCCTCTGTAGATATTGCACCAAAAACCAGACATTTGCAGCTGGAATAGTCATTTACCACATTTTAATTGTTTGCTAACAAATAAAATAAGATTTCAAATTCCGCCTGATATTTCTGAATCTGCGGGAGTAATGCAACAGCAGGTATTCATTTTTAGACACTCCCCCTTATGGCCAGCATCATTATGGCTCATAACTTTCCAAGGAGGGGGGAAGGTGATTGTGCGACCATCTCTGGTGATGTAACAGGCATGCGTTACATAAGCTTGCTCTGTTATTGTTATTTTGTATTCAGTTTGGTGATATTATTGTGTGTTCACTGATAAATTTCAATGAAAAAAAGGGTTAAATCTTAGGAGCAAAGGCTTTGCCTTATGCAGAAGGTCTCCTATAATGTAAATCAGCATATTTGTCTGGCTGGATTCCCTTTTATGAGTGGAAAAATGCATTCGGCACAATTTGGCACATTTCCGGCTAGCACACTGCTCACTAAA